ATGATGGCTTGGCATGCACCAAAATGAAGCTCATGCAATGGCTCACAAATGGGGTATAAAAGCATAACTCTCAAACATATTGAAGACATGATAAACATGAGAATATGGCACACCTATAAACTCTGAAATATCATATCCAATGATGCCAAAACACTAAAATGCCTCAAGCAACACATGCAAGGGACCCCAAAACTCAAAGGTAAGCAAGGCTATTACACTACAATCATGCATGGCAAGCACCAATCGACCAAGAGGCCTAAAAATAGAGCTAAGGCAGCCCAAAATGTGAACAAAACATGTTTGGAGTGTGGCCAAAAGGTGCTAGAATAAGGGGCCAAAATGTGCTAGAATAAGGGGCCAAAACAACATACAATGTGAGCTAGTAAGCATGATTTACACTACAAGCCTATGAAGCATGTGAGGGGCCACCAAACCAGCTAAAAACAGAATCATGGCATGCCAAAATATGACCAAAAATCCACTGAAACATGGTTAATACATGCAAGAATGACATGCTCCTTTGATAAGCTATGAATGGAATTACTCTACACATGCAAGAGGCAAATAAAAGGGGACCAAACCAGCTATGGACAGAGGCTAGGCAGGTCCCAAAAGTCACCAAAAAGTGCCTGAAATAGGCCTCCAAATGATATGAACATATGCTCATTTGATAGGCCAACAATGCTAGTAAACAAGACAAGGGGTGAGAGGATCACCCCTCTCTGATTTTTGGACTCAAAACAGTATGCTAGCCACTGAAAATCCACTGGATTTCAGTGGCTAGAAAGATAAACAAAGCTCACTTCAAAGGCCTTAATGCATGGCTCAAAACAAGATGAAAACAAGCATGCAAGGGGGTAGATGACCCCCAATAGAAAAATGACCTTAAACAAACTTGTTAAGAAGCTCAAAATAAGACTTTTTTCAGTTTACACCAAAGCTCAAATATGCTTGAAAGTATGGCTAAAATAAGGATCAAAATGATGCTCAAAAAGGGAGAAAATGGTTACCCTTGTGGCACAGCAAGAACCAGCAACCTCTGGACCCAAAAACCAGTCCCTTAGCCTCTGAAAATGGCTTTCAAGATGCTTAGAGTGATGGTGGAGGGGTTAGGTTAGGAGATGGTATGCAAAGGGGTCAAGAGCTCACTTTTTTAGGGCTCAAAGGGAGAGATACAAAGAGGGATGTATCTATGAGCCTTCACCAAAATCTGAACCCTTGCAATGAAGAGTTCCTTTATAGACCAAAGCTTCTCCAAGAAGCCAAGAAGCAAGGCCAAAGATCCTCTATACACGTGTATGGAGGATCCAGTCTGTGCCCTCCAGTTGGCACAGCTGGAACCAACTCACAGAGACAAAGCTGCAGAGAGTTGGCCGACCAGTTCAAGTGGTCGGCCGACCACTTAACCTGGTCGGCCGGCCAGGTCAAAAGGTCCAAGGTGGTCGTCCATCCCCTATGATGAAGCCCCAGAAGTTAGCTTTCCAATGGCGCCGGCCTTGCATTAAAATTCCAACTATGCAAAAAGTTATGCCTATTTTGGTGAAACTGCGCAGATTTAGTCCAACCGGATTGATGCCCTACTTCAACTAACTATATCTCCCCATCCGGACTTGGCTTTAGGAGATTCTTGAGCGTAAAATGAAGCCCCGGAAGTTTTCTTTCCAACTGTTGTGGCCTCATAGCTTAAATCCAAATGTATAGACAGATAAGCCTAATTTAGCGAGGACCGCTCGACTTTCTCTCTTAACGGTTCATGCCCATTTTCTTCCCCAACTGGGTTTCTTCCCTCTTTTCTTCAACTCCAAACCCCTAACAAGGTGTTTTGAAAGATTTTTCAAAGATTTCAACTCTTTTTCATTCATTTTCACTTTGTCTTGGCTCGGTTTACCGAAAAGCGTGACATTTAACAAAATGTGAGCCTCAAGACATTGTAGGAACTTTATTTAAAAAATATTTCGAAAGAGAGGGTTTTAAGATCTAAAATCTTTTGATCAAGAAATGGGGTGTGAGGTTAGGTTTTGACTCTCCTCTTGCCGAAGAAATCAAACATTTGCCCTGCTCAACTTTCTCCGCCAAGTAAACCATCAGTAGTGCCCAAGTCTTAATGGCGGTCAAAAATGGGGTGTCTACACGGGGTTGTCATCGTTATGGTCCTCACTGATCTTATCAAAGTCAGAGTGGCTCTTTTGATGAAATCCCATGGTATTGGATGTGATTACTCTATTAATGATATTGTACAGCACATCCAGCTGGTGATTAGTGTTGCTGAATTTATATTTGCGGAGGTTACTGTAGAGGGGAGCTTCCAGATTAGTTGAATTTGATGCCTTGTTGGGGTTGGCATTATGGTTTGTTGTTTGGTGTTTCTACTTAGCAGTCTGGCTGATGGTTTTGTAATTTTGTTTTGTGCCTTTTGCTTCCTGTGATGGTTGGTTACTCACCAACTCTGATGGGATGATAGCAAGTGATTTGGCGTTCATCATGGTGCCAACTTAGTTAGGATTGGTTTGTTTCGTTATAATGCTATTCTTTCCCATCTTTATCTTTATTGATGTATTTGATTCTTCTTTCATCAATAAAGGGTTCTTTTGCTGATAAAAAAATGTAAACTACATATGAATTACACTAATATCGCTTAAGATTTGAAATAGATACAATAATTTTCTTAATTTTGGTATAATTATATTGAATTCCCTTGATATTTTTGGTAATGTATATGTAGTATTCCTAAATATATTAGGTATTGATTTCCTAGATATATTTAGGAATAGCCATAGTTAGGTTTCTAATAGGATACTTTTTCTCATAATTAGGTTTCTAATAGGGTACTCTTTCTTAGCCTATATATACAGGCTTTCTATTGTATGGAATACATTCTACTCTACAATCATTTAATACAATACATATTATTCTCTCTCTCTACTATTCTAACATGGTGTCAGAGTTATAGGTTAAGTCCTTGGTGTTCTTCGCCTTACTGGCGGGCGGCAACCTTGCCTTGGCCGCCTGCCAGACCTCAACCTATTCCACCGTCATATTTTCCTGTCAATATCGTTTCATGGTGATCTCTTCCTTTATCCCCTGGTCTATTCCTACCCTAAATATCTCTATCATATTTATTTTTTTTGTGCTTCTGCTCCACTCTGTCTTTCCCTTTACTTCAACCTCAAATAAGTTTCTTGTCATAACGTTGTAGAGGACACTGGATGATTGTGTCATAACGGGGTAGAGGACACTGGAGGGGGTGTCATAACGTTGTAGAGGACACTGTATGCTAACCGGAATCAAATGTCGGGACAGTTTATGGGGTCTTGTCGGACCGTTGTAGAGGTTGCACCCTCAAAAGGTGTGCCCAATTGTGTCAAAAGGCGTGCCATCAAAAGGCGTGCCCAATTCATCAAAAGGTGTGCCGGACATGATGGCGAGGCACGTGGGCGCCTTGGCTTGCGTGCCCGTTTGTCGGCTGGTGGCAAGAGGCGCGCGATGCGCGTGGCTGCCTCGGCTATGAGTGTCTTGGTTGGCGTGCCCGTTTGTCGTCTGGCGTCAAGTGGCGCGCGATACGCGTGGCTGCCTTGGCTATTTAACCAAGACGAAGGCTGAAGCTGAGGCAGAAGCTGAGACAAAAAGACTGAGAGAAATCTCTGAAAAATTCTTCGTTTTGCTGAGAAAGATACTTTGTAACACTCTGTAACACTTTGTTGCTCACAAAATGGCCTCGTCCTCGTTTTCCCGTGGACTGCTCACCCTCTTTCCCGACCTCAATTAGTCAACAAGAGAGAGACCTGGTGCGGTGGCCAGTGAACCTCAACCAAACACCTCTGTGTTTGCTCTGTTGAACTTTCCGATGCGGTCGGTGGAGCAAAAAATGGCGGTGCAAACTGACATTGAGGCCAATCAGTATACTCTGAAGTCATGTGTGGAAACCATGACTGCGGTCACAAACTTGTCGCACCGGCTGCAGAGCAGGACAAATGAGGTACAACAGTTAAACTCCCAGCTGGCTCTGCTCCAACGCATGTATAAGGATGCGCGAGCAGAGATAAGTGTGCTAAAGACAGAAAACAAGGAGCTGAAGCGGAAGGCCAGCGTTATGTTCCGATTTGGAGGGCCGCCATATGCTGCAGTGGAGGAGCAGGGAGTAAATGTGCTCGGTGGCGTGGGAAATCCAGAGGCAACACAGGCAAGGGCCGTCCAGGACGGAGGCAAGAAGAAAAGACCGGCGGCTGAGTAGAGCGGTGGGTGGCCGTCTGCAGAAAAGAAAACAAAGCTGTTGTTGTTGTGATGTTTTGTGTATTTTTGTTTCTTTTGTTTTTTTTTTTGTTTGTTTGTTTGTTTGTTTTTTTTTTTTGGTGGTGTAAAATGGTGATCGGGGTGAACCCCGACATGAATAAAATAAGATTGGTGTGCAGTTCTTCCGCTTCTTCATTCGTCCTTTTTATTTATTTATTTATTTTTTTTTGGAATCAAAAAAAAAAATATATATATATATATTCTATAGACTCTAGTGGAAGGAATGATGGGTTTGGACAACAGCACATTGTGGGAGATGTGGAGTCTGACAAATAAAAGAGGTTTGGTTGTAAAGTAAGAGAAACGTGGGTGGTGGTAAAGGAAATAAAATATAATAATAAGAAAGGTGGGTGGTGTGTCAAGCAGGGGCTATGAGGAATTGTATTTTAGTGGTTTGTGGTAGAGTGGATCACATGGGTTGAGTTATTTTATTTGAAGCTTTGTTGATATTACCATAGAGAGAGAACGAGTGGTCTCAGAATTTTATTTTATTTGTTTGTGGTAGAGTGGAGCACATGGGTGTATGTATTTTATTTGAAGCTTTGTTGGGATATGTATTTTTGGTTGTTGAAAGTAAATGACTTTGAATTGTGACGATTATTTGGTTTCTATTATGTTTAGAAAGTCTACACTAAAATGCTGCTTTTGTATTATGTTTAGAAAGATGTCATGTTGTTAGATTTTGCTTATAAAATTCATTTAAACCAGCTTTTGATGTGTTATTGCAACTTTTCACTTACTTCTATGTATCATGTGTGCATTGCAGATTCCAACGGACTTGCACCCAGTGACCAAAAAATCGGCTTTGGAGACTGTGTTGACGGTATTATTGCATAATGCACAAACTGCACTTTAAATTTTCTAGTATGGTTTAGACTGGTGGTCATCCGGTCAACATTCCAATCCCATGTTTTTCCAGTTTAATTCTTATTTTCTATACGTTTGTACAAAACTGTGAAAATATATGTATTATTGATGGATATTAATGTGTTGTGATAATTACAATTACAAGGATTCCTATTATATAGGAGTGTGTTTGGGAGTAGGTGGAGAGTAGGTGAAGTGGAGGTGGTAGTGGTGTAGTGGGTTAGGTTTAGTGGAGTAGGTGAGGTGGTAGTGGTGGTAGGTTTATGGTAAATTCTAACAAAAACTCATACTAGGCATGCCAATTATGTGAAACAAGGGAAAGAACAAGCTTTATTTGTTTATTTCAACCCAATGCGACTCACTTTAGGTCTAGTGGGGGCAGTTGCCCCCATTTGAGTTTATATTTGTTAACCACTGTAACTATTATATTACACATTTAAAATTGATTTAAGTTCAGGCGATTTGCCCCTACTCACCATGTTTTTTGATTGATAGGCCACATTTTTGCTTGTTTATGGTTCTGCCCAAATGATTTTTGTCTCTATTTTTTAATTTTCCCCATCTTTCTATATTTTTTTCAGTCTCTTTTTGATTTTTAATCATATTGCTTCTCTTTTTCAATATGGCACATGCATGTTTGATGTTGACCTAATAAGCATGTACATGGCTACGTGACACGATACAGACACACCAAAGCAACAAATTTTAAAAAATGTAGAACATGAGACATGGAGGACACGTTCAAAATGTATAGTTTTATATACTTTCTATATATAAACACTTCATTTAAAGATGATAAAATATAACATAATACTAATTTTTAAAGTTTAGAGGAGGAATATGTATAAATCTACATTTTTTTTTCTTTTATCATTTGATCCCATGTTATTTTCTTCAAACTTGTAATGTGTTTCATGTGTATCTAAACATTGGACGTGAATCTCCCAAGTGTTCAAAAGTGTGTTTGGGTCTAAAAATAGGACACATGTATTACGTGTGTCTAGAATTGCCAATTAGAAAAAATCCGTGTATAGTTTTAGTAAGATTTGCCCCTGCTTGGCAAAAATCCTAGCTTCGCCCTGTTTCAACCTTTGAGTTTTCAATGTACGATGTAAACCTTTGTCAGATTTTCTTGTTGGGCTTTTGCAACTATGTAGGAGGAATAGTTTGGATGAATGATAGGAAAGCAAGCAAAATAGAAGTTGTTAGTAGGTGCTTCTGTATATGTTTGTACTATATGTATATATTAATATATATGTAGAAAAGAGACATTCATATGTTTTTTATCGATCCTGAGAAAGCATATGATAGAGTGTCTCGAGATATAATCTGGTGGGTGTTAGAGAAGAATGGGGTGACAAAAGGTTATATTGATGTAATTAGGGATATGTATAAAGATGTGGTGACCACTATTAGATCGTCTGCTGGAGAGACAAGTGAAATTTCAATTACTGTAGGGTTATGGATGAGTTGACGAGAAATATTCAGAATGATATGCCATGGTGTATGCTTTTTGCAGATGATATTGTGTTAATGGATGATGAGACTAGAGAAGAAGTTACTAAGTTGGAGATTTGGAGAGAAGCACTTGAATCTAAAGGATTTCGTAGCAATAACAATGGAAGCAAAGCAGAAGTGAAAATTGAGAATTAAGAACCACCTAAGAGTGATTATCGCAACGGTTGGAGAGATTGGAGCTGATGTGGTTCATAGAATTAAGGCAGGATGGCTTAAGTGGAGGAACATCTGTGGTACTGTGCAATAGACAAGTACCCAAAAATTCTATAGAACGGCTATTAGATCAGCGAAGTTGTATGGGATGAAATGTTGGGCAACGAAGAAATAATATGTAGATAAGAGTAGTGTTGCTGAGATGAGGATGTTAAGGTGGATGTGTGACAAGACTAGGAAAGACAGAGTTATAAATGAGTATATTCGAGAATAGGTAGGAGTAATACCGATAGAAGATAAATTGAGAGAGAATAGATTGAGATAGTTTGGTCATATACAACGGAGACCAATAGAGACAGCAGTGAAGAAATGCGATACAATAATGGTAGATGGAAGTGTTAGGGGAAGAGGCATACCTAGATTGACATAGGCTAGTGTAGTAAATAGAGATATGAATCTTCTTAATTTGACTAACGAAATGGCCTTTGATAGAGCCGAGTGGAGAAGAAGGATTCATTTAGCCGATCTCATTTGATGGGGCTTAAGGCTTGGTTTGGTTATATGTATTTGTGCATCCATGTATAATCTATCTATTGGGCTTTTGCAGCTATACATGAGGAATAGTTTGGATGAAGGTTAGGATAACAAACAAAATAGAAGTTGTTAGTGGGTGCTTTTGTATATGTTTGTATTGTATGTATTGTTAAATAGCTTGATATACAGTTTTGCGTCAATTTGCTAACAGCTTAGGCTTCTGGAAAAATTGGTGACTTAACATGGTATTAGAGCTTTGGTTGAGAGAGGTCTTGAGTTCAAGTCTCTCCGTTGGCATTTGGTATTATGGCCCCCATTTGGTTTCTTCCTCTCTGCTTGATTGTTTGCTTCTCCTTCTGTTTGTCTCTCCACATGCAAATCGGGGTTGCACACGAGGGAGAGTGTTAAATAGCTTGATATACATTGTTGGGCCAATTTCCTAACATCTTAGGCTTTTGGGAAAATTGGTGACTTAACATGTATATATATATATTAGTGCATGTGCATCCATGTATAATCTATCTTTCTGTATATTTATATAAATACATTGCTAGAAAAAGATGGACGTTTTGCGAATTGGCAATCCGTTATGTTGGTCGATATGACTTGATAGAAAGATTTGCAAAGAAGAATGTTTAAAAAACTGTGTTTTTAATATTTCTACTATCAATAAAACATGGACACAAACATAGAACCTGGATTCAATTCTTTTGCTGACATGCATTCATAGAAAATATGCATAAACAAAACACAAAGCTGTGAGGACATGTTGATCGGCACATGTATGTGTTTTCTCATGTATACATATGTTACAGTATATATATTTGTTATTGAATAGCTGATTGAGAAAATCTTTCTAATAGTTCAAATATGGTGTAAATAATATTTGGCAACAGATTTTACATGCAGGTGGCAAATTTGGTGGTTTAAGTAGTGGTTACAGTGTCTCAGGTGGACTACATGGCGTGGGTTTGTCCGTTGTGAATGCGTTATCTGAGGTGTTTACTTTCATTTCTTATACCTTTATTGGCCATTGCATTTAAGTTGATTCAGATGCATGTATCTATCAGTTTCGTTTATTCTTTTAAATGTTGGAGGAGAGCATTTGAGTTCCTCTTGGCAGTGAAATATGATTTAGGCTTTAATGTTCCAATTTTGATGTCACTTACCTGTCCTTTCTAGTGCAGATAGTACACCTGTGGAAAAACTTTATAGGGTTTTAACATTACAGTATGGGTTTTTGATTAACACTGAAATGAACCTTGTACTTCTATTCTGTGCTACATGCCTACATTTAGAATATTGATGGAAGGGATTACTAATGCTGATTGCATTTTCACACTATGATATTATTTAAATATACAGGTGTCTAAGGGCCTGTTTGATATCCTTTTCATCATTTTTATTTTCATTCAGTTCTCATTTTCTCAATTTCCAGCAATGACTATGAATAATGAGCAATTTGCCCACCAAGTGGGTGGCAGGAGCAGCTAGCAAGTGAACCTGGCTAGGCACTTGATGAAAAAATTATTAGACTTCCTATTCCTTCTTGTTGGATCGTACTAGGATTCCCAATTTTGACAATCGTGTTTTAGGATAGCACAAGAATCTCCAAATGTTTTTGCTTTAACTCTCTTCATCAGAGTTCAACTACTTTGCCTTGATTTGGCCGTTAAACATGCTGCTTGTGTCCCTTTGCTGTCAAACTGTAATAGGCCCTCTACATTTTACCTGCTAATGAACATTCCACAACTTCTTTTCTTCTTCTTCTTCTTTTTGTTTTTTATTTATTATTATTATTATTATTATTATTATTATTATTATTATTATTATTATTATTATTATTATTATTATTATTTTCTCATTTTCTCAATTTCCAGCAATGACTATGAATAATGAGCAATTTGCCCACCAAGTGGGTGGCAGGGGCAGCTAGCAAGTGAACCTGGCTAGGCACTTGATGAAAAAATTATTGGACTTCCTATACCTTCTTGTTGGATCGTACTAGGATTCCCAATTTTGACAATCGTGTTTTAGGATAGCACAAGAATCTCCAAATGTTTTTGCTTTAACTCTCTTCATTAGAGTTCAACTACTTTGCCTTGATTTGGCCGTTAAACATGCTGCTTGTGTCCCTTTGCTGTCAAACTGTAATAGGCACTCTACATTTTACCTGCTAATGAACATTCCACAACTTCTTTTCTTCTTCTTCTTCTTCTTCTTCTTCTTTTTTATTTATTATTATTATTATTATTATTATTATTATTATTATTATTTATTTTTAAAAACTAAAATTTTATAATTAAACTTTCCCAACTTGTTATGTCTTAGTTATATTAGGGATTTCAAGTTTGCTGGCATCAATGGTTTCTATTTATCAGGACCGAGTCATTTATTTCTGTCATGTCTTGGTTCACAGTTATTAGAAGTTATTGTTTGGCGTGATGGGAAGGAATACCAACAAAAATATTCCCGTGGAAAGCCTGTAACAACTTTAATATGTCATGAGCTTCCAGATGAATCAAAAGATCGTCAAGGGACACACATTAAGTTTTGGCCTGACAAAGAAAGTTAGTCATGACTTCCTAAATCCTTTATGCTTCTCATTATCTGGTCATTCAATTCCTTAGTGATAGTTGCTTTTAATGATTCCATATTCTTTTTCTGACCATGAACCTTTATGCAGTATTCACTACTGCAATTCAGTTTGATTACCCCACCATTGCTGGACGAATTAGGGAGCTGGCATTTTTAAACCCTGAGGTGGAGTCATTACAACCTGCTTGCAGTTCCGTTGCATCTTTGAAACTTTTAAATATTGATTTTAGCATGTCTCTTGAATTCTTCATTTTTTCTTTTTGAATTTGGTGTTTTTTTATTTATTTATTTTAATACTTTGAACAAGGTGGAATTTTCCTCGACATTTACCAACCTTACGTCGAATCTGCTTTCTATTTTTGCAGCTCCTCGAATGTGGAGATGTGGTCCATCTCAATCTGATGAGTGCATATTGTGAAATATGCTGGATTATTCATATGTTATTTAGATTAGTACTTAATGGTAGTTTAGTCTTGGCATATGCAATTAAGGTTTTAGAGTTTCTTATGTGCCTATTTAACTTGTACCTTGCATTCAATAATGAAATAATAATAATCTGATTACCTTTGCAATTGTTTCACATATCGTACTTAAAATTTCTTTGCGATAAAACTGTGTCCATGCAATAATGTTAGAAGATTATATAGGTAAGCCGGTGCGTTGCTCATCTCCCCCTACATATCTCAAACCTGCAGACGGAGCAACAGGTTGTAGAATTTGAAGCTATGATGAAACAACATGGTTCCACATTAGAGTTGGCATAATGAATGGCCATAGACTAAACTGGGGACCTAATTCGATGCAGTGAGCTTGGTATCGCATTTGCTGATTTCCCCCTGTTTAACTTAGAGGTTGCCCGCTGCCTCTTCTTCAGATGTGTCCTTGACAATCTGGCAGTTGTCAGCCTCTGCTTTTGGTGCTAGGAGTGCTTGGTTGTGAGGCTTTCCTTTTTCTCAACAAATTGGTTGTGTCAGCCCTATAGAATTTTATGCAACATAAGCCTACAAGAGTTCCTATCATCCAAGATACTAGGTTTGAGAATAAGGTGACATCCCTGGATCTAGTGGTTGCAGGTGGGGCTTTAGGCAGCTGACTGCCTGAATAGAATCAATCAGTATTCTATTGATTGTAGTGTTATGTTGTAACCAGTGATTGCTCAGGTCAGTGTGTGATCACCTTTGGTGAAACAACTCTTCAGATGCTCTCCCCGCTTATGCCAAATACCCCTGGCTGGTTCCACCGGGTACCGAAGGAACTTGTTTGGGAATAATGGGGCCTTACTTATTCAGGGGACTTGATTCTAAAGTGGAATGTTTGATAGAATCGATATTTCACAGAAGAATAGCTTATTCAGGGGGACTTGATTCTAAAGTGGAATGTTTGATAGAATCGATATTTCACAGAAGAATGGCTTATTCAGGGGGACTTGATTCTAAAGTGGAATGTTTGATAGAATCGATATTTCACAGAAGAATGACTGAGGCCAAAAAATCCTTCCACACACCCTCTTGCAATATGTGGCTTAATCTATAAGGAAGTTAACATACCCTGGGAAAATATATTCTGTGTCCGTTACTTGTCAGTTTGATTTTTGTTTTATGTCAGTTCCTTTCGTAAAGCTTGCTTCTATCTATGTATAGTGCTTCCCATAAATGAAATCAATAACATCGACGTAGGTTTTTGTTGGCTTGCATCTGATTAGCTAGATAATGAGAGACCCAAAGTAATGGCAATAGAAAGAGAACGAGAGACCCTAAGTAGTGAGAAAATGACTTGTAACTGTGAAGCTATAAGTATAAGGTATCATACCCTTGGGATTACGAAATAACCTGAGATGAGAGGGAAAAAGTTTTGTTTAACGTTTCTGGATATTTCTAAGTAGGACAACTTGAAAGTACTAGACTTCAGTCCCAAGAAAGTTGTGATTTCAGGAGTGGATTTTGGAAGGAAAGAATTCATTTACTTCCTGCAAATTGCTTACGTAAGAACTAGTGTCAAATGATGTATTGTTTGAATATGAATGATGCAGAATTATATTGTTAGACAATGATAATCTTGGAGGATAAGTAGTTTTTCCTGTATCTGATGTGCGTTTCAGGTTTGATGATTGGAGATCAATGGCTAGTCATTCTAGAACAAGTTCCTGTGAAAATAATCGCTTATTCTTCCAGAGAAAAGTTTTTTTCAGTATCTTACAGACTGCCCAAATATTTTTAATTTGCTTTATGTCAATTATTGTCTCTCATTATATACATTTCTTGTCAGAAATGGACCTTTTGCCTTTAGTATTATTTTTCCAATGGTAAAATGTAATTTCATTTTGTTGATGTGCTGCCAGTTTTTGTGACTTTTGTGTCCATGTATTTTACGGTTCACCATCCTTCTTGTTTCAATCTTTACAGCTTGCTATTGTTCTTAAGAAAGAGGATACAGATCCAGAGAAGTGCCAGTTCAATGAATACTGCTATGCTGGGGGATTGGTTGAGTATGTGAGGTGGCTAAATACTGACAAGGTGAGCTTGTTTCTATTTGTGTATTCCTTCTATTCTTATAGCTCACTAATTTTGTTATTGCTATTTATCAATTCTTCAAGTTTACACCATTTTGCATCCAAACTGAAGTATGTAGATCTTTTCTCTTTTTCTTTCTTTTCTTCCCTCTACGTTTCTCATCACTTTGCTGCACCAATCACAGCTTTGTAGATCTTGTTGCTTGCACATCTTTAGCTTCAGCAGTATGATTGTAAAACATGAAAAACTATTTACTTCAGCATCCATTTAGGGTTACTGGGTCCAACTAGAAATATGAAAAGAAAACACATAGCCCCCTTTAAGTTTTAGATGAACTGAACGTAACACCAAAAATCAAACTCGAACGAAAAATTTGAATAGATGAACAAACTAATACGACTATTGTGACTTGAAGCAAACTTGAACAAAAAAATTGAATAGATGAGAAAACTAAGGTGCCGTTTGGCAACATTTACAGTTTACTATTTTTTGTACAAAAAACATTAAACATGGTTATGTTTATTTTGGATAAAAATGAAAACAAAAAGCATGTTTGGTACATAAGTATTTAAAATTTTGTTTGGAAACAAGTTTAAATAGGGATTGCGGGAGGTGATTGTTGACGATTGGAGATGGTGTTGGAGGTGGTTGTTGACCACGAGAGGTAGTGGCCGAAATTGTTGCCACCGATAAGAAGCAGTTGGCAATGATTGGAGGTGGTTATTGGCCAAAAGAAGTGTTGGTTGAAAGTGATTGTCAATAGTTGGAGATGGTGGTCGGTCCACTGCCTAAAGTGACTTTTATGAAAAGATGGTGGCTAAAGGTGGTTATTGCCACTAAGAGGTGGTTGGTGTGGTAATGACAAGTAGTTAGCGGTTAAGGGAGGTGGTGGCCAAAGGTGGTTGACGGAGGAGGTCATTGATGATGGTAGCCGATAACGATGAGTAGGGATGGCAACGGGACAGGTTTGGAGCAAGTTTGTCATCCTCTGTCCCCACCCCCACCCCATATCATAGCACATGTCATATAATATATTGTAGATAATAATTTATAATTAATGAGAGAAAGCGAAACTAAGTTTACAACATTTAATAAATTTTGTAAATTGTTTACAACTTTTTGAAAACGAAAACAGAAACCAAACGAGTTTTTGTTTACAGTTTTTAAAAATTCTCTAAATATAAAAGTTAGCAAACAAGCCTAATATTGTTGTCAAATCGTGAATCGTTGATTTAATATAGCATATAATTTTATATGTACATATAAAATATACACAGTGCTTGAAATGGAATAAATAGCAATATAGCTAATTATTATTATTTTTGTTTCTTTATAGACAGATGAAAACAACATCGTTACATGTATTATGCAAACAAACACAAAACAGAACATGCTCTTAGTGAATTGCAAATTAAATCTTTTGATTTATTCAATTCCTGAATCAACATGATTGGAATCATTTTGGTAAACTCATATCAAATTGTATGAATTGAATCGTGAATTGCATGATTCTAACAACCAGTATATGACTATTGTGACTTGAGCAAATCAACCACGCAATTTTCTTTTGACACCTGATCATCCAGCTTTTGCTCCCAAAAGTTGCATGTGAATGTTGATAACATCACAAAGGCTGAACTTTGATGTTATTTTTCTGTTGATATGTGAAGGCTGGATATGATTGTTTACTAATTGCATGATTATGATATTCACTGCTATAGAATTGACATTTGCATTATGCTTTTTGCTGAGTATTGACTGACAGTTCTCTGATCCAGAAACCACTTCATGATATTGTGGGTTTCAGAAAACAAGCAGATGGGATCACAATTGATGTTGCTTTACAATGGTAAACATTTGTCTCTTTTTTCCCCCTACTTTTTTGCATTTTCTGAACTTTTTAATTTTTTTTTCTTTATTCTTTCAAATACTTTCTGTTGATACACAAGAAAAACACAGAAACTGATTCCCTAAGTTTCGTTGGTTGTATAATTATCTTGTTACATTCTTGTTGATGCCTGTTAAAATTGATGTATTATTGATTTATTGTATGTTATTTATTATAAATGGTGAGGGGCTCCTTATATATGAGATGTAGTGGAGTAGGTGGTAGTGGTAGGTGTGTAGTAGGTGGTAGTAGGTGGTGGTAGGTGTAGTAGGTGGAGTAGGTGATGGTAGGTTTTAACAGCCCCCCGCAAACTCAAGGGGGATAGGAACTAACCAACTTGAGTTTGGAGAGAATAACAAAACAAGAAAATAATCTGAAAAATAAAAAATGGATAGGAGACACTGTATGGTCGTGTCAGACCGTTGTAGAAGACTGTATGGTTATGGCAGACCGATGTAGAAGACACTGGCTCGTGTCAGACCGATGTAGAAGACAGTTTATGGGGTCATGTCGGACCGTTGATATGTACATATAAAATATACACAATGCTTGAAATGGAATAAATATCAATATAGCTAATTATTATTATTTTTATTTCTTTATAGACAGATGAAAACAACATCGTTACATGTATTATGCAAACAAACACAAAACAGAACATGCTCTTAGTGAATTGCAAATTAAATCTTTTGATTTATTCAATTCCTGAATCAACATGATTGGAATCATTTTGGTAAACTCATATCAAATTGTATGAATTGAATCGTGAATTGCATGATTCTAACAACCAGTATATGACTATTGTGACTTGAGCAAATCAACCACGCAATTTTCTTTTGACACCTGATCATCCAGCTTTTGCTCCCAAAAGTTGCATGTGAATGTTGATAACATCACAAAGGCTGAACTTTGATGTTATTTTTCTGTTGATATGTGAAGGCTGGATATGATTGTTTACTAATTGCATGATTATGATATTCACTGCTATAGAATTGACATTTGCATTATGCTTTTTGCTGAGTATTGACTGACAGTTCTCTGATCCAGAAACCACTTCATGATATTGTGGGTTTCAGAAAACAAGCAGATGGGATCACAATTGATGTTGCTTTACAATGGTAAACATTTGTCTCTTTTTTCCCCCTACTTTTTTGCATTTTCTGAACTTCTTAATTTTTTTTTTCTTTATTCTTTCAAATACTTTCTGTTGATACACAAGAAAAACACAGAAACTGATTCTCTAAGTTTCGTTGGTTGTATAATTATCTTGTTACATTCTTGTTGATGCCTTTGCATGGATCAGGATTTGTTAAAAGTTGGAGTGACTTGGTGCTTTTTTATATAAAATTTATATTTATATAAAAAAAGTAAATATAAAATATTGTTCATGAGTGGAAAATGCCGAAACTCTTAGGTTATCTGCTTCAAATTGCTTCAAATGTTAATATGGTAAACCAGTGTAGTCAATTGTTTTTATAGTTTTGTTCTCAACCTTTGTTATAGGTGTTCTGATGCATATTCGGATACCATGCTGGGATATGCTAATAGCATACGTACAATTGATGGTGGTACTCACATAGATGGAATGAAGGCTTCGTTAACAAGAACTCTCAACAACCTTGGGAAGAAATCAAAAATTCTCAAGGTGCTTTTTTTTTGGTTTCTTTTTCTTTTTCTTGCCTGTTGTTTGGCCTTTTCTTTGTTTTCAATGAAAATCTTTGATTCTTCTTTTCTTTCTATCTTACTGTACTTTTCTTTTTTTTCTTTTTTTTTTTCATCTCCTCCATCTTTTTGGTAATACAATGATCACCTGTACATCTTTGATATTCATATTGTCTGTGCCGCTAGAATTATGTTTTAGAAGCAAATTATTTACTAGAGAACAAAAAAACATGTTGAAAAGAAAGAAGTTTGGTTGATGTCTACCTGGATATATACGTGTTAAAATTCAAATATTATTGATTGATATCTTTATGATTGATGTATTACAAGATAGATAAATTACAATTCCTATACAATCTATATATAGAAGAAAATGTGGTAGTAGGTGTAGTGGAGGTGATAGTGGGTTAGGTGAAGTGGAGTGTGTGGTGAAGTGGAGGTAGGTGAAGTGGAGTGTGTAGTGGAGTAGGTGAAGGTAAAGATGGGAAATTCTAACAAGACGTATTGATTTCTTTGTTTATGTGGATAAATATGTTTTGATTTCTTTGTCTTGTTTTTCACCTTTTCTAACAAACAGATGTATGCCCTTGGGAATGACTGCTTGTTCCACTTTGTTTTTCTAAACAAAATCTCCACTTCTAAGAAAAAGACATTTTACAAGTTATCTGAGTGATGTTTAAATAATATGATGAGTGATATTGTTTTAAGTCCGCTGCTTTTTTATGTAGTTTTAGGAATTGGCTTTACAATGGAAATAAGTTGACAGTGGTTGAGTCAAACTTGATATTTTGGTTGTTGTGGGGTGGACCTAATGTCATGACTTTTCACCAATTTGGTTATATGTTTCAGAATTTTGCGTGCTGTCTGTGTTCAACTGCTAGTTAAGTATCTCCCCTTTAAAACAGTACTTTTGCTCCTTCAACCCTGGTCTTTCCTAGGTGGCTTGCAGGTTAATGGCATGCAATGATAATGCACTCGAATTAAACTTGAACTTATGTATCCTGTTTTTGAAGTGTACATTTTAGGTGGTGCTTCCATGGTTGAGTACTAAGAAATGGACACGTGACATGACACAAACACCACCCGGATAATGCCAACATGGAAAATTTAATAGAAAAATACAAGACACAAGTGGAGGACACCCAAAATATATGGTTTTATATATTTATTTATTTATTTTTTTTGAAACAACAACGAAATTTATTTTATTAAAGAAGAAAGAAAGGAGGACGAGAAATACTCATACAGAGAAAAGGAACATGATGAAAGTAAAACACAGCCATCATAAAAAGAGAAAAAACAAGCAAACCCAAACACTAAGGGTTACAAACAGCAGCTCAATCCCTAGAAATCAAGAAAAGAGGGATTCCCCTAAAAGGAGGAGACACAAAGGCCCAAAAAGATGCCAAAAATCCAGCCCTATCCCACAACGAATCTGCATCAGCCTCCTTTCCATCAAAGATCCGTGCATTTCTCTCCAGCCATATGATCCAGAAAATAGCACAAACAATACAAGACCACAATGACTTGGCCCGCTTAGATTCGCCGAACCCATCAAACTTAACAAGAAGCATATGTGTGCAATCCCGTGGAGCAACCCATTTAACATCACACAAGCCAAATAGACGCTGCTGCCATAACTGAATAGCCACCGAGCAATGGAGAAAGAGGTGATTCGCTGATTTCGAACTCGTCTTGCACATCACACACCATTGAGGGCAAAGATGGTGATTTGGCCTTCTCCTTTGGAATAGATCATTGGTCATAACACCTTTATGAGCTAAGGACCACATGAAAAACTTTACTTTATGAGGGACACCCGCTTTTCAAATTTTCATGTGAAGAGGAAATAGAGGAACGGATGACTTATCAATGAGATTATCAAACAAGGATTTACAAGACAAAACCCCTGAAGAGCTGATATTTCACCCCCTTTTATCAGGAAATGATGCTAAGGAAATCCCACCAACCAACGTCAACAAAGATGTCAACTCAAGAGACTCCCTATCACTAAGATTTCTAAGGAAGTTGAAATTCCAGGATATTGGTGCCACATGAGAACGTGCCACCTGAGAACGTGCCACCGACTCAATTGAAACATTTTGAGCTTGAACCAATCGATATAAAAGTGGAAAAGCTTTATCAAAAGATGTATCCCCTACCCAAACATCCTCCCAAAAACGTATACTAGCCCCATCACCCACTTTCATAGAGAAAAACCGAGACACAATTGGATACAACCGAGAGATAGACTTCCAAGGAGAACGACAACTGCCCCTACTAACCACAATAGAATCTCTACCATTAGCCTGAATTCCATACTTGCTTTTAATAATAGAACCCCATAAGGACTCGCTTTCCTCGGGAAATCTCCACAACCATTTGCTCAAGAGGGCAATGTTTCTAGCAACAATGTTCCCAATGGCAAGACCCCCTTTATGACGAGGAAGAGAAACAACCTCCCATCTAACTAAATGATCCCGCTTGCCCTCATCACACCCTTCCCAAAGGAAATCTCTCAAAAGTTTCTCAATTTGCCTTGCAAAACGGACCGGTATCTTGAAAAGGAACAAAAAATAAATAGGAACACAACTCAACACTGACTGTACCAAAGTGTATCTCCCACCCTTTGACAACAATGCTCGTTTCCAGCCCTCCAATCTTTTCCCAATCTTAACGAGACTGGATCCCAGAAGGCCTCTGTTCTAGGATTACCACCCAATGGAAGTTCCAAATACTTAATAGGGAACCTCTCAATCGGACAACCCAACATGTCTACCAAACGACGCTCGTAACTACACTCAAGATTAATTCCCACAACATTGCTGTTAGAAAAATTAACCTTAAGGCCAGATTCAACTTCAAAGATCCTTAAAAGCATAAGTAGATTACGTATCTTACCTTCCTCCTTAGCAGAGAAAAATAAAGTATCATCTGCAAACTGCAAGTGAGTCACACTAATCCTATCTCTACCCACCACAAACCCCTCAAGAACCCCTTTTTCCTCAGCAATATCAAGTAACCTCCCCAACACATCAACCACTACAATAAATAAAAAAGGTGATAATGGGTCTCATTGCCTTAAATCTGAGATGCATGAAAAGAATTCCCCGCTTTTCCGTTCACAATAACCGGCATATTACACGAAGACACACACCCCCAAACCCACTTCCTCCACCTAAAACCAAAACCTTTCCTTTTCAAAACAAAATCCAGAAAGCCCCAATTCACATGATCATATACTTTCTCAAAGTCTACCTTGAAAAGAACCCCCTCCTTATGCAAAGCTCTATATTCCTCCACAACCTCATTGGCCACTAGAACCACATCCAAAATTTGCCTTCCATGCACGAAGGCTCCTTGTGAAGGAGAAATCGTTTCCCCAAGGACAACTTTAATTCTTTTGGAAAGAACCTTTCCCAAAATTTTGTAAAGTGATGTAACCAAGCTAATGGGCCTAAAATCCCCAATCTTCACCGATTTCTCTTTCTTGGGAATAAGGCAAATGAAGGATGCGTTGGTACAAAGGTTAACCTCCCCACTCTCGAAAAATTCACCAAATACTCTCATTAAATCACCTTTCACTATATCCCAACACTCTTGGAACAATGCCATTGAAAAATCGTCCGGGCTTGGAGCCTTATCTCTCTCACAATCAAACACAGCCTGACGCACCTCGCACTCATCAAAGGGCCTCTCAAACCATCTAGCTGAAGAGGCACTAATTGGGGCCCAATCTAGGCCTTCAATCCCTGGCCTATCCACACCTCCATCAGAGTAGAGGTTCAAGTAAAATTTGAAAATTTCATTCACAATTTGTTCTTCCCTATTCACCACTAACCCTTGCTCAACCTCCAAACACTTAATAAGGTTTTTTTGCCTCTTCCCTGATGCCACACGATGAAAAAAACTAGAATTTATATCACCCTCCTTTGCCCATTTCAATTTAGCGCTTTGCCCCCCAAAAATCTGCTCCCTAAAAACTGTCTCTTCTAGTCTTATTCGAAGCATGTTTCTTTCGTCCCTCAAAGCCCTAGATAAACCCTCCCCAACTTCCTTTGCATCCAACTCCTCAATACCTCTCACTAACTCCGCCTTTAATTTAGTTGAATCACCAAAGACTTCATGCTTCCAGCCTCTCAAATTCTCCTTAACCGCTTTCAGCTTACGCATGAATTTGAAACCCTCCCACCCCTGGGGCCTACAATTCTCCCACCAGTCCTTAAAATAGCCCTTAAAAGAACGATCCTCTAACCACGCATTCTCAAACCTAAAGGGACAAGGATCCCATTTAAAGGGGCAGCTCTCAAAAATCACTGGGCAATGATCGGATACAACCCTAGGTAATGCCTCTTGTCTAATGTCGGGAAACAACTCTTCCCACCCCAAGGTATGAAGGAACGTATCCAATCTACTACACACAAGATTTTCTTGAAGATTGGACCAGGTGAATCTAGCATTACTCAAAGGAAGATCAATCAATGCACCCTCCCGGATGAAAGAATCAAAATCCGTCATACTTCTGTTTGAAGACACCCCGTTAAGCTTTTCAGACACGAGCCTAACCACATTGAAGTCACCTCCCACACACCAATTAGGAGCACAAAGCCCAAGTAAACCCCCCAACTCCTCCCACCAATCCCGTCGATCCCTAGATCTATTGGGGCCATAAACTCCTGATAACCACACTATTATCCCGATTTCGAAACTTAATAGACAATGAAAAAACCCCCAATAGTATTTCACACTCCGATACAATTCTGTCTTCCCACATAATTAAAATACCCCCCGATCTCCCACTAGAAGGTAACACAGCCCACTTTTTAAATTGAGTCCCCCAAATACTCCTAATAAAAGACCTATCACACTCATCGCATTTAGTCTCCTGGAACATGACAATATCTGGCTGATGAACTTTCAAAAAATCTTTTATTACCGCCCTCTTTCTATAGGACCGTAGTTCTCTAACATTCCAACTCAAAATCTTCATTGAGCACCTAGACCACCCTTAACCTCTTCATCCCTACCCTCATAATTAATGCCACTCGCAAGATTCCTCAACTCCCTCCACCCTTTTCTATGTCCCGAACTTCTTTGAGATTTACCTCCCTTAGATACAAACTCCCTCTTCTTGGACCTAGACTTTAACCCGTTATTCTTTACTAAGGACAATCCAAGAGTGTCAAGCAAGTGCACAAAATGGGGTACATCCCCTTCCTCCAATGGAAAAGACACGTATTTACTCATCTTTTTCAACCAGTGCTCAGTCTCATCAACATTAGTTACTGAAACATCTGTAACTCCTAGCCCATGATCCGGAGATGTCCCCTCAGAAAATTCTGTCCTATGATCTCCCTCATTAGCCACAAGTGGAAGCAGTCTATTAGTGGTATCCAAACTATTATTGGGTGCAGGAGCCACAAAGTCTTCCCCATTGGAAGTCACTCTACTAGAATGAAGAAAGGCTGGACCATCATGTGACTCCCCCCCTCCTCCCCAAGATTGACCCAGGAACTGGCGAAGAGATAACAACCTGAATGTGATCAGAAAGTGCAGAATTCATATTGCCCTGCTCATAAGAGTCACCGACCTTTCCACAAGAATCAGAACCATCCTCACATTCCTTACCCTCGATGCGTTCCTTGCTATCAGAGTCCAAGATCTCCTTTTCATGAAATAACCAATTAAGATTAGGATCCAAGAATTCTCCCCTCTCCTCTATACCATCGTCTCTCTCTTCTGGAACTGATGAATCCTCAGAATGTTCAGAAGACCCATACTCGTCCAGTGCTTGCAACACCTCGTGAGGATTGTACAAACCTTCCTCCACTTCGTTTGCCAAAACATCGACAGCCTGAGGGACTTCCAACTCAGCTCTATTCACCATCGCATAATCATGATTGTCGCATCTAGGCTGTGAAAGATCCCCTGTCGATCGATCAACAAGATCCGCTGAACCCAACTGAATCTCATTCAGGTTGAGCTGCGATCGTGGGTCTGACCCAACCTTGCTAATCGCGACATCTCCATGATCAATCCTTGCGAGACCCTCACGAAGATGACAACTTTCATCGCTATGCTCATTCGACAA